AAAAAAAAAAAAGTGGTGCTTGTTTGAAATTCACAAAAAGTCAATAACAATTCCTCCCCTTTGAACAACTTCCTTTGCTCACCCCTCCAGCTCAGTATGTTCTTTCTCTTAGAGACGCACGTAACACAGCCATACGTGCTTAACAACAGGGATACCTTCAGAGAAATGTGTTACTAGGAGATTTTATCACTGTGCAAGCTTCATGGAGTCTAACACTCACCTGGATGGTAGAGGCTACTACACCCCTGGACCGTGTGGTAGAGCCATGTGCAGCCACCACCACACCAGCATTCCATGGTGGGCAGAAACATTGTTACACCACACATGACTGTGCCCTGTATGAGACATTAGCAATTATGATGTGATGACTCACTCAGTAGCCATCTCCACTAGACCGAAATGTGCGTGAGGGAGGAACCACATCTTACTGGATTCTGTTCCCCCAGTGTCTGATGTATTCTGTTTAGTTTGGTTTGTTAGTTGGCTTTTGGTCTGCTTGCTGGCTTATTCTCTGTCTTGGTCAAATAGGAATTGCAGTGGTGCCGCACCATATAGAAACTCAATACTTGGGTGGATCAAAGGAGTAGGGCTCCAGCCACATATACTGAAGGTGGTGGGTTCAGACCCAGACCCAGCCCCCTCCAAAAAACAACACTTCAAAAAAAAGAAACTCAATGCTTCTCTAAGTCAAAGAGTCAGTTAATAAATGGAACAGCTTCAGAAAATGCCATCCATTTACTTTATGCTTAGGTGGTCAGCATATGTGAGTTACCTTTGGGGAAAGAGAGTAGTGACATTAATTAGGCTCTAGTCCTTGTTTGTGCATTTCCTTGGGAGGCTGCCAGTGTTATTATGGTGGGTATTAGTGCTGCAATACGGGGGAGCACAGAAATGGAGGCAGGTCAGCCCTGAAGGGGGTGAGCAAGAAATCCAGGGAAAAACATTTCAGGAGGAGTAGGAGGTATAGACACAAAATCAGAGAGGACAGGTGGCAGAATGGAATATTCATCCTTAGAAGTGAAGTATTACATATGTGCCTGTAAACTGAAATTATAAAAGATCATCTTTTAGCGGCAATGAAAATAATAAGGATGATTTTCAAATAATTTGGAAACAAAGGAATTAGGTCAGGGAACCTGCAGCCTGAAGGACACATGTGGCTTCCAAGGTCCTTAAGTGCAGCCGTTAGACTGTTTCCAAACACACCCTTTGCTTTTTATTATTTTTGGGTTCCTGTTTTATATTTATATTTTGTTTTTAGCGAATATATTTAAAATATCAAAGAATAAATAATTCAATGAAATCATCCTCCCAGATTGACCAGCACAATTAGAACATTAGCAGGCCATAAGGGCTTAAATTGACGGCTGCCACACTCATAATTTAGTTCTAAATTATGTACCACTACCACATGAGAATGGTTGGCAAGATTTTATGGGGTCAAGTACACTGGTCTGTTTTCAGCTTTTGACAGCAGTGCTCTGTGTTTCTGTTGGAAGTGGAATCTGTGAATTAGCTGCACAACAGTATTTTTTAACTCTGCTTAACAACCCATCATGTCAAAGAAGACCAAGAAACTGCTGAGGAAGGAAAGAAACAGATTTTTTAATGAGTATTGGGAATTGCAATGTGATCTTGTTTCTGCTAAATGTAAGACGATCTGCTTGCTTTGCAATACTACAGCATCAACGTTAAAGAAATCCAGTGCTCGTCAGCCTTATAACTCTCATAAGGACCACAAATATTTTAAATTAGAGGGAGTGGCTGTGTTTCTTGCAGAAATTACAAAATGGAAAG